GCAGCTGAGGAGAGCAAGAGCCGCAGCTAAGTTCTTGTACATTTGTCTTGGGCTTCATCCATGGGCAAGAGCAAACCAGAGCAAACCATTTGGCGAGCGCGGTGGGGAAGGGGAAGGGGGAATGGAAGGGGTGGTTGCTGAGTGCTTTCCTCCTTTTTATGATCTTTGGGAAGGTGAAAGCAATAATGACAAGCAGCTGAAGCATTTTTCAGGGCCTGCGTTACTCATCATCAGATCTGGAGCCAAAGAACAAACTGAGGGGGAGAGGTGGCTGCAGCCAAGCCACAAGGTCACTTGTAAAACTGACCTCAGGAGAAGCTCAGCTGGGCCAGGAGGAGCGCTCCCTGGGGACTGTGTCCATTCCTACGGCCACAGGTCTCAGGACAAACATAAGCCTGCAAGTCCCGGTCTTCTTGCTGCCTGCAAAGCATTTATCCTAGCTGCCCCCAAGCTGGCTGGGAGATGCTGGGAATACTAGACCAGGTGGGGAAGTCAGGTTTATCCCCAGAGAATGGGTCTCGCTGGCTTTCCTCCAGAGTCATTCTCAGCACAGAAGTAGCCGTTCTGCTTGGAGGAGACCAGAAATGTTATTAATAATAATAATAATAATAATAATAATAATAATAATAATAATATCTTTCCTCTGCACAGCCTGCATCAGATCAGGTTACAGACCCCCATGATCCCCCACCTCCTCACACATCCTCATGTTTAAATATTGCTCTTCTCTCTGCATCCCCGTGTCACTGGCCTCTCATCTCTTGCTGTTGCTCTCCATTCTAAGGCTAAGGGACAGGCAGAAAGAGGTCCAAGCTATGGAATGCTGGTAATTTTGGCCCCCTTTGCCTCTGGCTCCACCCACCCCTGGAATGCACCACCCAAATCCAAAAGTGAAATTCAGCCCTGAAGCTGGAATAGACCTGCTAGGTCAAATCTTGTGCATGCAGGTAGATTTTCCAGATCACTTTCTGGAGGCCCCTGTAAGGAAGAGGATGAGGGGTGTGGCTCACAGGTAAAGCACCTGCTTGCCATGCAGGAAGTCTTGAGTTTCGTCCTCATTGACTCCGGTTAAAGAGAATGTCAGGATGGCCTTGACCTGGCCCACAGCCCTGATTTTGTGCACTCCTGTTTTACAAGGAGCTCCGTCACGTTCCCGGCCAGCCACAAGTCCCCCGGCCAGCCCATTTTCCCTTTATGCCCAGAACTCCTCCTTGGATTGAAAGACCAAACTCTTCTGCTCACACTCCCTGGATGTTCTTCCACAGATGTCCTGCTTCCCTTCTCCTCTGCTGCCCAGAATTGTCACTTATTTTTAGCTTCCCTGATCTGAAGAACTGGAACGGCTTTCCTCTACTTCCAGGCCAGGTCTGGGACAGGAGCAGGTCCAGCGCTACAATCCAGATTCGAATCCACTGATCCGAATGTGCTGGCAAAGTGGCGTTTTCACCCTCCCTTCCCCATGGCAGCCCTTCCGGACCCCTGAAATGCTCCATGGGGCCAGCTGCCCTTGTTGACTGGGGTGAGCAGGGGGGGGTCACAGTGGGGAGAAGAGTCCTCCCAATTCCCCACCACCAAATTAACCTCCTGAGACACACAGATCCTGGACCCAGCCCATTGAGAAAAACAAAGAAATTAAGCGTACAAGCATAGGACACTTTACACTGGGGAAAATGCCACTGCATATTTTGCCACACACACAAACACAAACACAACATAGAGGATACTCATCACCCCAGCAGACACCCCCTCCTCATCCTGTGCTCCCCTGTTCCTCTTCCCAGTTTCCAAGACAGCATGGCCAAGCAAGAAAAATTATCTTACAGCCTGTGGCACTTAGAATCAGCTGCACCATCATTCCAGGCACAAAAACTATCATTCGCCAGCCTGAGAGGGTGTACCCCAAAGATCCGAAATGTATTTATCAGAGCCCTGAATCTTTCCCCCAGAACTCTGAATATCAATCGTGGTATTCCTCTGCCACTTAATTCTTCAGGTGGGGCATGAAAAGGGCCATAATGAAAGTTACCAGCTTCTGTGTGTCTTCTGCATTTTCCCACCCGTTCTCATTGCAACAAAGAGAATTTACTGAATTAGAATAATCTGGGAGTTTGATGCAAATTAATTACAGGCTATAGGTTATCTGATATAACATGGATGGGATTACCTGTCCAGCATTCTGTCAAATTAAATACCCCCCAGTCATACCCTAGAGCCAGTGTGGTGTAGTGGTTAAGAGCATGGGACTGGGACTCAGGCGATCTGGGTTCTAGTCCCCACTCAGCTATGGAGCCAACTGGGTGGCTTTGGGCCAGTCACAGACTCTCAGTCCAACCTACCTCACAGGGTTGTTGTTGTGGGGATAAGATGGAGGAGGAGAATGATGTAAGCTGCCTTGAGCCCTTTGTAGGAAAAAGGCAGGATATAAATCACAATATAAATAAATATAAATAAATTTCAAAACATTTAAATGAATCCTATTCGTGTAGAGATACAAATTAGCATAAGAACATTTTATGCTGATTTTCATCCTGGGCCTTGAGTCTTTTAAGCATTTAGCCATTCACCAATAACGGCTTATGACGTGGTCCTGGGACTCTGACTCTGTTGACTGTTTAGGCTCTTCTTTAAAATTGCAGATATTTTTGGAAAGGTTGAATTCTGAAAAACAGTGAGCAAATGTGTGGCTATGACTTGGATTCCACTGCAGCTCCGACTTCTCCCTTGTTGACACTGTTGGAATTACGCTACTGCAATTGGGAAACTTCCAAAATTTTCCCCCTCCAAACTTCTCCGGGGCCACCACCAAATAGCTCCAGCACTTCCCATGCACAGGGGCAAGGGGGGTGGGGGAGATAAGCATTCACAGCAAGATCCTGTTCTAACAGGGGAAGGGATTACAAAACCCATGTGCCTCAGGGGTTTTACTCATGCAGGACCACATGCTCACTAGTGCAGCAGTGGAACAGGGCAACAAAAGCATAATAAAAGGGCGGGGAAATAGATGCCAATATGAAAATTCAGAAATATTAGGAAATGGGGAAATCCTCATATCTATACCACGAATGATTGAAATGCACTTGTGCATTCCAGATAAGACAGTAAAAAAGCCATTCTGGATATGAGTGTAAAATGAACTAGATGAAGACACTTTTCCTGTGATGTTTTATAAATGTGTTCAATGTGGGGCCCGTGTGTGCAAATCCACAAAGCATCACAGAAAAATAACCTGGAAATAATAATAATATAATAATATATGATAATATTATAAAAATAATAGCATCAATTTCATTTTCTGTGCATGTGAAAATAAGCTGAAGAAGTTGGACACTGTGGGGAACTGGGCATGCATCCATTAAATTAAAATTTAAAAAGAAACTTAGAGCAAAACTTCTTTCAGTCTTCTAGTAGGGAGAGGTTTCTTGGTGATATTTGTGGGGTAGACCTGTAACACCAAATTTGCAGAATCTCTAGCTTGTCGCTGGGTTTTATAACTCCAGAGAAAGATGCTACAGAGAAACAGTTTTAAATCAGGCTGATAGAATTTCCAGAGCAGACTCTGCAGATCTGGTTTGACTATCTTCACCCTCAGGAACATAAAACTCAAAACACACATATTTTGAAATTGGGATTTTCCTTTGTAAAATCCAAACAGACAGATTTGCAAGGGATAATTTCTACATGCAAATCCCAAACACCACCCTCCACACCCACAATATTATTTCAGTTCTATATGTGGAAGAACAATCAGCAAATAATAACACTCTCAGTGCACCCCCCCCCAATAAACATGTACCCCAATTTCGAATTTTCTATGTGCATGTTTTATCTTCCTATATTTTCCTACATTCAATTTCTTCCTGAAATTTGGCATTCTGAATTGCCCATTATCATTTTAGCAGGACCCAGTTGCTTTTTTTTCTGATTTCATTTCATCTTTTTTCATTTCTGATTTCCAAACGTTATACAGGGTGCACCATTGCCCATGTGCAAACTTCTTTTATTTCCTTCACAGTTCCTTCTCCACCATCACCAATGCAGACGTACACAGGTGAACCACTGCAAAAAAACACACTTTGCTGCAAGTGATTATTTCGAGTTGTGTTTTACCAGCTTCCAGCAGCCCAAGTACACACCAGTAGCACGCCCGATAAACAGAAGCTTGATGCAATCCTGTTATAAAATAATATAATTTTAAAATTATAACATCTTGCTGCTCTGCACATCTACACACTGATAATGTAGACAGGAGCAGGAGGGTGAAGGTGCTGGTGTGGGGAATCGATGAACCAATGCATACTCCAAATCTGGAATGGGTTTTATATACCAATTCTAGATAAGCCAGAATTTAAGGGGAGCAAAGGCAGGGTAGAATGAACCAGGGAACCAAAAATGCAATGCGGTGGGTGAAAGAATTTGTTCCCTGGAAAGGGAAAGAAGAAGACAGGTGGTTCAGTGATGGAGCAGTATGAGATTATAGAAGGATCTACCTAATATGGGAGAGAAATTACAAGGAAGGGCAAGGGGACGGTGTTCAGCTGTAGCTTCTCTTTCAGCCCAGGGGCCAAATTCCTTTTCAGAGAAACTCTGGGGGGTTGTTTCCCAGTGGTGGTGGGGGGGGGGGGGTCCAGGTAAAAAAGGATGTGCCGAAAATACCAGCACATTTTAAATTCAAGCTCTGACTGCTGAGACTGAGTCTTAAGAGAAGCATCTCAGCCTTTTACAACGGTGGCCGAGATGCTTCTGCACAGAAGCTGGGAGGCACCTGGAAGGCAGGTGCAGGGGAAGGCAGGGGAAGGGAGTGGGACTACTGAGAACCTGTGATTCGGCACCCCTGGTATATGTGGAGAGGCCAGGGAACTGGGAGATAGCGCCTTCTTGTCCCGAAGGTTTTAGATGCCTGGAGGTGGGGAGATGAAAAACGCCGCAAGGAGATATTCCCCACCAATGTTCATACCATTAGGGAGCTGCAGAAGGTGCTGGGGCACCAAGGAATTTCTCCATCACAGTTGGGATGCGCCCACCCTCCTTCGGCGGCTGGATGCCCGGCGGGCCTGTGAGGTAAGCATGGCCCGCGGCCCCGATGGGTAAGACATGACTTGGGACGGGCCCCGTCGTTGTTCATTCCCACTCATCTCCCGCCGGATCTCCGTCAGTGCCTGTCCCGGAGATTCCAGTAATCGCTGGAAGAAGCTCTTGCGTCCCACGGGCTTCTCCTGGCAGGTGAAAGTCAGGGCCGTGCCCCTGTTGGACTTCATCTCCCGTGAGAATCCATCCGAGGTGCCATCAAAGCACCGGCCGATGGCAATCTCCTTGGCCAGGCGTGGATTCTGGTCTGTCACTGTGTAGATGCCATAATTGTGGCCCAGTGGATCCACTGGAGCCAACATGGAGAAGGCCGACGTGTCATTGTTCTCGACCAAGGGCGGGTGACGGCTCAGGTACTCCTGAAGGTAGCTGTTGACTGCTGTTCGACGACAGCTCCCCTGCGGGATGATGGACACTAAAGTCCTGTCTACCTGCCCTTGGTCAAACAACCTCCCGCTACATTTGAACTCAACACAGGCGGCTGAACTATTATCTATTTCAAGGTCTCGGACGCTACGGGAGTCTCGGAGGCCGTAGAGTTGTCCCCGAGTCCTCGGATGGCTGCCACCCCAGTTTTGGGACCGCAGCAAGAATTCTTGGGGTCCGTTGATTTTCACCTTGATATAGCAGGCCCGGAACTCTTGTGGGTTTGGCCACCAGGAAAGGTAGTCCCGCATCCAGGTGGTCAGGTCGCTCTCCTTAAAGGGCACCACATTATACTCGTATTTGTCATCTTCCACGCGGTAGAACCGGAAATGGTTGGCTGAAGTGGGGGCCTGCTCACAGTCCTTCAGGCTCCGGTAGGGGTAGATTGGCCCATTGGTCTCGTCAATGTTGTTCTGGTTGGGCCGGGCGAGGTTGATCTTGAAGGCTGTCTTCTTGAGGGCAGGGTCTTCGTGGTCCGTCCGTTGGTAGCCCAGCTTGTGGAGGTAAGGCTGGGAAACCCCCACGGCACGGGGGTCCAGCTTCGGGCTGGAGGGCACCGCCTCCAACTCCTCCCCTCCCATGGTTGCCGTGACATAGGCTGTGTAGGCGTCGGCCCGTTCGCCATCACAGAAAGCAGGCAAGCAGGCGCCGTTGGGGCCCGTCACAACGCTATCGAAGCGACCCCACGCCTGAGGGTTGGACGGATAACCAGGCCGGGGCTCCAGATTGATGAGGGTCACAACCACTCCCTCCAGCTGCTCAGTGGGGTTGAACTTCTCATTGATGTAAGTTCGGACCTTGACAAAGCAACGGCGGTTCTCTGGGACATCGAGGTTGAACAGGCGCCGCTCACGGATCTCCAGGTTGCCAACCAGAAAGGTTCTCTCTTCCCGCTTCTTACGGCTGCCCTTCACAAGCTTTAAGGATGTTTCCTCCTCCCAAAGGCCCGTCACAGGGTTCAGGGACCACAGCTTCATTTGCTCGATGTGCTCTGGCATTGTGATGAGCTCAGCATCCATCCTGATTTCCAGACGCCCAGTTTCTAAGCCTTGGTGGGTTTCTTCTTCCCAGAAGTCCACGGAAAACATGCCATAGGTCCGGAGAGGAAGGAGGTCCCCTTCCTCATTGATGAAATTCAGGTCGCTGGAAGCAGCATTCACCAAGGTCAGGTCTCTGGGATCTACAAAAGTAATACTGGCCTGGACTGTCCCGTTGTATACCTGTCCCGTGGTTTTGAAGAAAGACCCTGGTGGGATCACGATCTCTCCTATGGGGACCTCTCCTGTTACCTCTCCCAGCGGGATGATGTTGGTCTCTGTTGGATCCAAGTCAACAGGCTTCTTCCTCCGAATGAGTTTGACTTCTTGGTAGACTGCTCCACCACGTTGGTCAAAAGGAAAGACTTTGACCGCGTCTGCAAACTTCTGCATCCTGTCCACAAACTTGACCACAAGTCTCTGCATCTCAGGAGGCACCTCGATGGTGAAAGTACCTGTGTAACCAGTGAAGCCCAACTTCTGGGCACCCAGGTAGATCTCGCCGAAACGCAGGGGTTCGTTGTCATCCGCTGCAGAAGCTCTCCCCCGGACTAAGATTTTGGGCTGGGTGCAGGAGGTGCACCCGCACTGTGTGACCACCTTGATGGGCAGAACGTAACCTGTGCAGCGGATCTTCCGCACCTCCATGCGCAGTATCCCGCAGCAGCGCTCCATGTGGTCTTGGCATTGCAGCTTATCGGCTAAGTTCCCAGCACAGTGAGCACTGGGGCAGTGACCCACGTTGTAGAAGGAGGACCCCGATTCCTCTTGGATACACTCTTCAGGGAGTTTGATGAGGTATTCCTCTGGCTGAGCTGCGCAGTCTGCGACTCCTGGGTCTAGAACAAGAGAAAAACCAGCCAACCTTAGGGGACATCTGACGGACAGTTTGCGCAGGATCAAGGTCAACAGTGGAGAAAGTGAAGGGACTGGGAGGACCAGATTCTGGAAGTGCTGTGGCAGAAGCTTTCCAGGAGGAGAAGTTCCCAAATCCAACTGCTACTCCTGAGGAGCCAGAACTGCTACAACCACCTTTTTGCATGATATCAGCTTTTTTGGAGTTCTTGGGGGTGTCACTATGGGGCTCTCCTAACAAGCACCTGAGCTCAACATTTAGCATTGAGGATCATGTCCTATTGCCTTTCCACCAGGACTGACCAGGTGTTAGAGCAGGATGACACCTTCCCCATATAGGTGTCTCCTTACAGCATTTTGGGGAGGCAGAGATGGGAGAGGTGAATTAAACTAGACATGAGAAATCATAGAATCATAGAATAGTAGAGTTGGAAGGGGCCATGAAGGCCATCAAGTCCAGCTCCCTGCTGTTTCAGGACACCAAGTCACACCACCCCACTCAGAGGGCTGCCCAGTTTCTTTGAATGTCCCCAGTGTGGGAGAGCCCCCACCTCTCCAGGCAGCTGGTCCCACTCTTGTATTGCTCTGACAGTGAGGGAGCTTTTCCTGCTGTCCAGCCTGAATCTGGGTTGTTGCAAGTTGAGCTGATTATTCCTTGAGCCGCACTCTGGCATCAGCCAGAAGAGATCTTGACCTTCCTCTTTGTGGCAGCCTTTGAGGGACTTCAAGAAGGATACCATGTCCCCCCTCAGTCTTCTCTTCTCAAGGCTGAACATGCCCAGTTCCCTCAGTCTCTCCTCACAGGGCAGTATTTCCAAACTCTGCATCATTTTTGCTGGCCTCCTCTGCACCCTTTCTAATTTATCTGCATCTTTCTTAAATCTTGGTGCCCAGACCTGGACCCAGGATTCCAGGTGAGGTCTGACTAGTGTGGAGTATAGAGGAACTACTACTTCTCATGATTCGCAAGTCATACTTCTGTTAATGCATCCCATAATAGCATTTGCCCCTTTGGCGGCCGCATCGCATTGCTGGCCCAATCTCACATCTCTTGAGTCATCTTAGAATGAGACCGCAAACTGTGCCTGGATTCCAGCACTGAGAGGCAGCCATTGGGAAGATGTGCGTTATCTCTGCCCTGTCCTTCTGCCCATCAAAAGCACATCTCTGCTCCAAACTGCTCTTTGTCCCATTCAGGAAAGCATGCAGCGTATTGAGTCTGAGGTGCCACTCACCCCTCACTCTCAAGTGGGCAATGGAGGATTTGATGGCACCGTGCTCATTGCTAGCTTTGCAGTGGTACTCTCCAGCCTGCTGGGCCTCCAAATTGTGTAGGACTAAGCTGCTGTTGTACTTGAAGGCTTTCCGGTCCAGGAGTGTTCCGTTGTGATACCTGCAAAATAGCAGATGGTGAGCTTATTAAAAAGGGGATTAGAAAAGAACACCTTTCACATTTTCATTTGGAAACTGGCTTTGTGTAAATCAAGGACAACTGGGAGGCGCAATAGGTGCTTTGCTGTTCCTGCCTCATCCCTGGCTTTTGGCCTTCATCTGCTTTATGCTGGCTCTTTTCCTTATCTGTTTGGGACGGCTGGTTTACAAGGTTCCCTCCTGCTGAAAATATGGGGTGTGGGTGTGCCATGCACAGAAAAGACTAGTTGGCTTAGTTGCTCTCCTCCAAAGAACTGTTTGTCCTTAGGTGTGATTTTCTCTTCTGTAAATAAATGGAACATCTACCATCCCTGAGCCTTGTTGACATGTCCAAGGCCTTCCTTTTAAAGGAAAATCTGGCAAAAAAGGGGGTTGCTTATGTGCCTTTGTGTTATGAAATGCCTGCACCCCTTTTTTTCAGGAAGTACCCCAATTGCAAGCCAGGTTACCGTTTGGCATGTGCTGTTACTTTAAGAAGAGGGACCTCATGGCTTCCCCAAGGCGCTGCCAGGGCTCTTGTTTTGCTAGTCAGTAAGAACTGGTCAGGTTAACAACATTGCAATCACCCTCCTTTGCATGCCAAGGCCCAGCACAGCCCCTGTGCCTCAGTGGTCGGTGTGTTAATCTCCTGCAATCAAATGCCATTGTGTTGAGCCCTCCTGCAGGCCTCTCCCCTTCTTCTGACTCCCTTCACCCTATTTTGTCATCAACTACCCAGCTGCTGGGCCCATGTGACTCAGAATCTATAAACACTCTGTGTATGCTCTGAAAGCTTATAGTTGGTGGCAGAGAGCACTATGCGCGCGCGTGCTGTCGTAAGTCGCTGCAGGGAGCCTGGGTGACCTCGCCAATACAAACGCCAGGGTTCAAGGTGATTCAGTCTTCCTGCGGGTCCTGGTAATTCATCCTCGACATTAGTAAAGAGACTCTGACACTACTGTTTAAGGCATGGGTCCTTAAACTACAGCCCGTGGGCTGGATATGGCCTGCCATGCTCATTTATCCGGCTCACCTCAGAGCTTTTGGACTTGCTTGGAAAACGATCTCCAAGCGAGTCCAAAAGCTCTGAGCCAGCACAGGCATTCTTTGAAACTGAGCAGAGCTGGCACACGTGCCAAATTGTAACAGCTCAACTGCACGTGCGCCTCTTCTCCCACCATTGCACACATGTACAGGGTGGGAATACGGAGCGGGAAACAGAAGAGAGGAGGGTGGAAAAGAGAGAGAGAGATGAAAATGCTAAAAAAGGATTGAAGGTAAGAAAAATATAACTTTTTAAATCTATTTTTAATTATGTGAGCCACGTCCCCAGGCTGTGGGCCAAGCTGCAGCCGCCTCGCTGAGCCCGGGGGCGGACAGGCTGAGGTGGAGCTAGGCCAGGGCTCCTTCGCCTCTGCTGCAGCCTTCTCCGAGCAAGTTGTAGCTGCCTTTCCTCCCTCGAAACTGGGGTGGCAGCGAGGACTATAATTTCCATCATGCCCAGCCGGCATGGCCAATGGAAGTTGTAGTCCAACTCATCTGGGCAGTACCAGTTTTGGCAAGGTGGCACTAAAATATGGCAGTCATTAGCTCTGCATCCAAATGCAGCCACTGTGCATTGTGGGAATTGTTCTGGGCTGACTTGCTTCAAATACTACGAGTGGCAGTACCAGTATTTGTCCTTAGTGTTTTTGCTTCATTCTTCGTAAATGCCAGTCGCAGTCCTCAGCTGCATTATGCAAAATACTCCATTTGGTTGTGTTGTAGCTCTGTCCCTTGAATAAGGACATGCGCTTCCACACCTCATCCTGGGCTTCTGCTGCAGCCCAAGGGAGCAGAGCAGACATTTTTAATTTTTTAATTAATTCTTTTAATTTTAATTAATTTTTAATGTGCACTGTGCATAGGAATTCGTTCATATTTTTTTCAAACTATAGTCCACCCACCAACAGTCTGAGGGACAGTGAACTGCCCCCCTGTTTAAAAAGTATGAGGACCCCTGGTTTAAGGTTTCCACTTTAGGGTATTAATATGGATAGATGCTTTTTGGTGCCACCTCGCATCAGGGGGCTAGGCCCCCAGAAAAGTTCATTCAGCACCCATTCTGTTTTCATTTTGCCACCACACAAAAACATTTCTCTTCTGCACCCTTTCTAATAGTTCTAATAATGGATCTTAAGAACTGATCTTAGATGTTTTTAATTTTATTGACATTATTAGTAAATTTGTGGTTGTCTGGCTCATTTTGCCATGATTTAGAATGATCCTGTTAAATTATTATTAGCAATGTATTTATATTTTTATGATGGCTTTTAAGGTTTTGTGCTATATTTCTCATTCTTTCCTGTTGTACGCTGCCTAGAGAGTCTTATTCACTATTTGGCAGCATATAAATATAAATATAATATAGACGGTGCTGGCTTGCACCCCTATTTTTAAGCCCTGAGCATATTCTGTAAGGTCTGGGTAGCCCTGGCTAACGCTGAGACCGCATATTCTGTGCGGTCTGGTAGTGGCCTACCTTACTGGGTTGGCGCTTGGACTGAAAGTGGCCTTTGGATAGTGAACTTGCAGGATTTTGGTGTGTCCAGAATCAGAAATTGTGCAAAGGAGGATGACAGATGCCCAAGCAAGTCCAGCAGAACTGCTCTGGCAGGAAACATTTCTTTTTGGCTGAGACAGAGCTCCGTGCGAGCAGTAAAGCACAGCTTAAGGACAGAGAAGAAAATATCTTAAGAAATCAAAATCAGGAACGGGTCAAGAACCTTGAAAGCTTGCTGACGGACTTGTTTTACCGATAGCCATTAAGTTTTATACGCCAGAGCTAAGATAGCAAGATAAAATGGGGAATTCCCATCTCTCCTTTGCCTTCCTTTTAAATCTTACATCTGTAGTCACGCGTCCCTGTCCTTGCTTTGGAAAATGGGGCCATGGTTACAAATATCCGGTGCGCCATCACTCACCAGAAATATTTTTCTGGCGCAGGAATGCCTTGAGCACCACAACAAAACTTGACTCTTTGCCCAAGTGTCCTCACTTTGGATTCCGGATGGACCACCATGGAAGGTTTCTCTGCCGGAGTTTTAATAAAACAAATACATGTGTATCATGATGATTTTCAAAACATTTACACCCTGCCCAGGAGCACTGAACCTAATCCTGCAGGCTGAACCCTCCAAGGTTCTCCAAGATTACTAGGCCTCCTTATTTACTTAATTTCTGTACCACCCATTAGCCAAAAGAGTTCTTTCTCACTCCCCGTTCACAGGCCCGATCCCCCTTCGCCCAAGTGTTTGAGCACCTCTCCCAAGCTTTAGGTACTACCAATAAAGGTTTGAAATTAAAAAAGAAAACCACTGGCATTTCTAATATTTTTGCCCCACACCCTTGCCTTCTGAACCAGCCTCATTGTGTTACAATTCCTAAGAGTTTCTCTTAAATGGAATTTTGCTCTTGGGCCAAAATAAGTTCAGCCCGGCCCTTCTACAGAGGAAAATATCTCTGGGCCAACAAAGCCAGAACTGGAAAATATTTGTTTTAAGATGCTTTTGTTTTGAGAAAAGAGCCCAATAAATCAAATATTATAGCCTCCGGAACAAAAGATGGAAATCTGAAGGTGAGTGGGGCTGTTCTACCAGCCCTACTGAAATGCTTTTTTTCCCCTCTTCCCTCCCCATGTGTTTGTCCTTGCATGCCACGCCCTTTTAGACTGTAAGGCTGAAAACTATCCAGGAGCTTTTTTTGACTAAGAGGACCAAAGTACAGTAGTACCTCGGCTCACAAACGCCTCAGTTCATAACCAACAAAAATTTCATTAAAATTTTGACTCAGGTTGCGAACTCCACATTGGGTGGCGACTGCGATCACGGCCATCTCCCCACCCCCGCTGAGCTGGGAGATGGCCACGATCCTGCTGTGGGTGGGGGGAGGGAGATGGCCAAGATCGCGCCCCTCTTTCCTGCAGGAGTGCGCCCGTGATTGTCCCCATCTTTCCTGCACATGGACAACTGCATTCTTGGCCATCTCCCCGCCCAGCAGGATCGTGCCCATCTGCCCCCCCGAGCCCGCCCCCCCCCAGCATGCCCACGTTTACGCCCATCTCTCACCCCCCAAGTGTGCCTGCGATTGCACCCGTCTCCCCCCCCCCCAGCGTGCTGGGATGACCGGCACGTGCAGGGATGACGGGCACGATCGCGGTCGTGCTGGGGGGGTGGGGAGAGGGCTGCGATCTTTGTTGTTCTTTGTCACTTTGCTTCGCATTTTTCTGATTAAAAAAAATAGTTACAGAAAGGATTAACCTCATTTACATTGACGCTTATGGGGAAATTGGACTTGGCTCACGACCAATTTGGCTCAGGACCAGAGTCCTGGGACGGATTAAGTTCCCGAGCCGAGGTACCACCGTACTTGAAATGAGTAAGTGAGACCTGCAGAAGTTTCTCCAGGATTCTCCCTCTCTCCCGCAACTCTTACCGGGTCTACGGAGCACGATCTCCACCGTGGAAATCAAAGAGCTGTTGGAGGCCGCAGAGGCACTACCCGGGGCAAAGTGCTTGTGGGTTGCACGTACGCTGGTCCCGTTTCTGACACAGACACCTCGGACTGTGAATTGCCCCCGGAGGTTGCTTCGGGCCAGCAGGGCCTGTGTCCGGTCACCAAGAGAAATCTGGGCATCGGCAAGAGCTGTCCCACCCACACTCCTGACGGTGCCTAGGAGCGTGTGGTTGGGACAGGTGCAGCTGGTACAGTCCTTGCTGGGGATGCCCACATCACAGCGCAGCTGGCAAGCTAGGAACGAAAGCAGATTGAGAAGGAGCACAGAAAAAGCATTTCTGTTACTCAAACTCCGCGCCAGAGGAAGCTGTTCTGCTTAATGCACTTTCTAATCAATTCAGCCTGATCCACATTAATTTGCGCTGCAGAGGCATAGTTTTCTCATGTTCTGAGCCCTCCGTATTTTAGACATGGGCCCTGTCCTATTTCGCACGCTCCCCTCATGTTTGTACTATTGAGGAGAATTTCTAAGAGGAATTAGGGAAGTGGCATGTGCCCAGCTGAAGAATGACTTTGGGTTAAGAGGAAAGGATTCAGGAACCAGCAAGGAGAGGGGCTGGTGGTGTGGAGTAGTGGTGAGGTGTTGCAGGATGGAGCTAGAGATCCCTTGAGCCCCCTAAGCCGGCTTCAGGCAGAGGGTACAAGTCCTCTCATTAGTGCTGAATAAGATTCAGCAGCCCATCTGGTTGAGGTTTGTGCATGGAAGGGGGATGTGAACTATTTAGGACTTTGCTGCAAGCAGAAAAATGGTAATGCTGCAAGGCAGGCAGGCAGGCAGGCAGGCAGGCAGGCAGGCAGGGAGGGAGGGAGGGAGAGAGAGAGAGAGAGAGAGAGAGAGAGAGAGAGAGAGAGAAAGG